TTAAAGTAGACTACAAAAAAGAAAATATTGTCTTTCAATTACATAAGATTACAATAACATGGATTTCCATATGGTTCTTTACCATAAATTAATGAATCATTTTTATTATAATAAGGTTCCCATGATGAACTTCTTCTAGGTAATGATTGTGGTAATTGTATAGTTAATATTTGATGATTATTATCAAATTTTGCTCGTATTTGATTAGGATTAATATTTTTTGATAATTGATATTGACGATAATATTCTCTACTAATACAATATTCATTTACATTATCATAATGTTGTGCATTTATTTTTAATAAACCATTTTCATTTATTCTAATAGTTACATTTTTAGGTCGATAACCATGTAAATCAAATGTTAGAATATTATTATTTATTGATGGTGGTATATTATATTGACGTGGTCGAATATCTACATCAATACGAAGATGTCCATATATATCAACTGTATTTCGTATAAGTTTTGCTTCAATATTTGATCCACCTAGTTTATATTCACGTCGAAATTCATGACATAGTGAATGATATGCATGTATATGTAATCTATTAGAATTATCAATTAAAACATTTATTTGTTCAGGTTTATAATTTTTTAAATTAAATTCATATGAATATGTTCGATAACCATGACCATGATCATGTATTGAATAACAATTTAATGATGATTTTGATGGTTGTAAAAAATAATTTTTCTCATTATTAATCGGTATCAATGCTGAAGATGTCATTATATATACATATATAGATAAGAAAATGAATTGAATACTTGATTTTCTTCGTTCTTTCTCTCTCACTGTGCAAAAACAAATCAATATGATCCACTAGAGTAACTAAGAAATATTCTTGCCCTTTTTTTTTTGGGAAAGGATAGAGTCAGTATTGGCCTTGCATGTCGATATATGCGTACTCATATAGAATAGATCATAAATAAAGCAGATAAAAAAAGAGAAGAAAATCAATAACAGACGGAATTGGTTAGGCATCATCTACTGCTGTCATCGGTTATAACATTGATGATTATTTGAATATTTACAAATATAATCTTGGATTCTATGATATTGATAAAGGAGAAAGATAAATATAGGAATTTAATTGTTAGCAATGCTATTTCATTAAGTAAATCTGTTATTATATGTAAGAACAATAATTGAAAAATCTTAATATATTATATTAAATCTAATTGAAATTTTTCTTGTATGACATTTCAAAAGATCTGATAAAAATAGAAATATCGAACAAAAGTAATATTAAATTTTCTTTTTATAAAAGATTCTATTCAATATTTGTCTGTGATAATATAGTCATTAGTTCTTTTATTTTCAATTAGTTATCATCAATTTCATATAATGATAGAAGAAAAGACTAGTTGGCAGTGAAACTGTCAAAAAAAACAATTATCAACATGGATAATGGCCGAAAAATGCGTTAGAAAATTCGGACTAATAAGGCACATACTTTATTGTGTTGAATAATATTAACATTCTAACAGAGATTAAACATTAGTCAAAAGATAAAAAAGAAAAACTTTAGAGTGTCTCTGTCTTCGTTTAGCAACTGTAAATGATAAATCATCTAACGAGGAAACATATCCAAATGTCATATCGCTATTGAGACTCATATACAATGGAATCGCAGTATAATGATTGCTGCATCTATTGAATGTACTGACATTTATTAGCAACTACACATTGTCAACGATCACCCAAACTATTTATGCCATTAAAACATAACCCCGAATCAAAATTACTCAAGTAGTTCTCAATAGTCGTTATTACTTCGTCATCAGAATTAGAACTCTTGACAGGAAGAAATTTCTTCAAATATGAAAACATGTAGTAATCAGTAGATGTAATATCCGAAGAATAGATAGGATAATTCAAGTCGACGAAGTCGGTCTGGCAAATAGTAATCTGCACAACGTTGTTCTTGTGGACGGGCGTGTTGTCATGAAGAAGTAACATTCCATGGCTGATTTTGTTATGGTGTTTCTCTAGGATAGCAGCATGTAGCTGCTCGATGAATGATGCATCATAGGATCCATTGATCGTCTCTCCATGAATCCGATAGTCGGTGACCAGCACACCGTCTTTGTCCCAAAAAATGACCATTAGGATCTTGCCTACTGATGGAGTTGGGTTAGCATCTCTTCTGCTGGTTTCTTCCAGATCTCAACTTCCAAGCAGCCGACCGAGTCATAGTGATGCACTCATGACTTATTCTCGATCACGATGCAATCGAGAAAGTTGGTCGGATTCGGTTCACTTTCTTGCAATAGCTCTTGACAATACTCCACTCGACTAACACATTGAAGTGGCGTCAAGAATTTCAGTACTCAATGTATGCAGACCTTGCGCATGCTCGACTGATTGCTCATAATCTCGTTGACTATAGTTTTTGGACTACTCAATTCGTCGGTTACACGACAGAGAGAGATTTGTCGATCACGCATTACAATACGTTCAACGGCTTCAATGTTTTCATCAGTGATTGTGGTGGATAGTCAATCACTTCGTGGTACATCTTCAAAGTTGCATGTTGAATTCTTGAATTCAGCTGCCCAGTATGCAACAGTTCAGTACGGTGGAGCAGATTCTTTATAAACATTTTCCAATTTCTTAGTGATTCGAGTAGCTTTGAGTTCTTTTCAAGTAAAAGACTTTATGACTGCTCGATGCTCGACATAGCTGTAATTTAGAGAGATATAATGGTGAAAAGTAACTTTTTCGTACAAAATGATACAATCAGCCAAAACAAGGCTTACATCATGGTAAAAACTTACGCTTTGCACGATAATATAAACTAAATATTTCACACATACAATCCAGATGCCGTTGTACTAACTTTTCGGACAACCTGATAAGTTTCGAATTTTGACTTGAAACTTTGCACCGAGACAGATCTTAACGAGAATAGTTTATTGTGAAAGTTTCAGATCATTTTGTTTTTTCTTTCCTAAGATACGACTAAGGTAAAAACACATTTTTAACTTCACCCTTATACATTGACAGGTCCCGATGTTCTTATGTGTTCCTCAAGAAGATCACGACATTGTACTAAAAAAAACCATAAAAATGCAATGCTTCGGCAACGATAAACTAATAGCTTGAACTTTTTTTCGGGATAGTCATAGTTCATTAGGATCTGTACGATGCACATAGTTCTGACTCAAAAGCAATTTGACACTTGGATATGTTCATTTGTAAGTATTCTATAGTAATTGTAACACCGTCATAATATCGTTCACCAATGATCATATAATTTTAGGTGTGTAATACTAGCGATTACAAATTCAGACCAGTAGACTTATAAGAAAAACAACAATGAACTATAGATGCTTAGAGTTACCATTTATTAAAGACATCACTGTTTTTGATATTTTTTCTTTCAACTTTTTATCAGCATATCAAAAAATTTCAGTACAGAAAACATCGAGTCTGTTGAAAAATCTCATTATAAATATTTTTTGTTTTTGATTTTGCTATTTCAATTGAAAAATCCTCTAGCCGTTTATCTTAATATGAATTTTTTTTCAAAAAAAAAACAAGATTGTAATTTTATTTGTATGTATTGAAATAATGAGAACACATCAGAAAAATAAAAATACACACAGCAACAGGCGCTTTTTTTTCTAAATTACTCTTTCTTTGGGACAATAAAATTCATTAGAAAAAAAAACCAAGCATTCTATTGAATATCACAATAAAGAGCGCGTGCTCAAACACAAAACAAAATCATACATTCAAACTTTTCTTATCATATCTACAATTATTTGGCATTGATTCTAGTTAACAAATGATGTCACTTATTCTTATCTTTTACTTCATATTGATGGTTATCGTACCAATAAGTAAGCTATATAATATAAATATAATATTCATCGATCTAGGAAATATATAGAAACCTTCGTCTGGACTGGTCGGTTTCAGCTTCAGGGTACTTGTAATATGACAGAATGCTGCTGTCCTGCAAATGTCTTGGTTATTCAAAATCATAATAATGTACTTCACGGGGCTTTGCAAATAGGTGGTGATGACTGTAAAGGAAGTCTAGGTTTGACAAATTTTACAGTCACAAATGGTTCAAATCCAAATACTATTGCCTTATTGGGTACTTTTACACCGAGAGGTGCTGATGCTTTGGAAGTATTATTGGAACAGGTATTGATATTACGAATATTTTATTTTATTTTTTTGATTCGAGTTAGTTTCATATATAAATTTTATGATGACAAAAAAAGAAAAGTTTTATTAAACTATAAAATATTCAAATAGAAAAAAAAAGCCTCTCCTATTTACATCAAATATCTTCAATTCTTATGTTTCTTTATTCTTAATTAGATGAATTTTAACCATTAAAACATTATTAGTTCTTTTTTTTGTTTTTGTTTGATTAATCAAAAAAAAAACGAGTATTAGCACAATGAAATTTTTGATAACTTCTTTTGTTGTTTCATAAAAAAGTTTTACTAAACTTTTAGAACACATTACCTAACAATCTATGTAAAGTGACTATGAATCGTATCCAATCTTCAACTAATAATAATAGTAGTGGTGGTGGTGGCAATCAAAGTACTATTAGAACAACAACAACAATAACAACAACAGCTAAAAATCACGTGTCATCAAATTATAATTCAATTTTCATCAAAGTCATATCGATCATAATGATAACTACTGTTATCATACATATTTGATCTATTATGAAAAAAAAATGACAATAATTAATCAAAACTAAATCATAAATGTTAAGAAATAATTGTTTCATTTTCTCTTCCATGTTATATCTATATTGTTCAAATAATTCAGAAATAAAACATTCGCGCCAATAAAAATACTTCAATTCTCTTAAATAACATATAACGAAAGTTAAAAGAAGAAAAGATTTTTGTTGTTTGTTTTTTTTATTCGTGTGTTATGCTTAAATAATCATTAAAATAGTTTCACTATACAAAAAGAGAAAAAAAAAATGACACAAGAAAACATAAAATACAATGTTTATTTCGTATCACAAAGAAGTGCAACACCTCTTAATGTCCATACATCAGGTCCAGCTTTATCACCTGGTGGACATTCTAATTTAAGTGTACACACATAATTTCTATCTGTACGACGTGGTTTTTTATAAACAGGTGCATAATAAACTGGACGACGATCTTGTTTTACTGCTGGTGCAGTTGTACCAAAATCAGCTTCAGCTGATACATGTATAACAGGCATTGGATGTGTTAAAACTTTTTCATTTGCTTTTAATTCATCCAAAACACCATTTTTTATTTTAGCTCCTTCAATATATAAACCATATATATAAAGACCTTCACGTGGTGCTTCTTTTAATGCTTCACGATCCATTCGTGTAACTTTATTTGTTAAAACAACATTATCTAATGACCAACCTGGATTAGCTCTTGTTACTTCCTTTTAAAAAGAAAAAAAAAATAAATTATACAAAAAAAAAAAAAATAAAAATGAGTCTTTTTACTTGTCGCATAGCTGTTAAAAATCCTTGTGGATTAAAAAATCCTGTCATCCAAAAAGCAATTGGTCTTGTATCTTTATCAAGTTTTAACCAAGAACGATATTGTTCATTTCGTGCATATAAATCTGTAAACCAAGCACCTAATGTTGATGATTCCCATGATAATTTTAACCAAATATTTGGAATTTTACCATCATACATTCGATCTAATGCATCACGTAATTCTTCATTCATAACAATTGTACCATCAATAGCTAATTTTAAATCAATTAATGTACGTCGTACAGCATTAAGTACACGTTGAAAACGATCGATTTCTTGTCGAAGAAATATATTCATTGGTTCAAGTTTTGAAAGACGTTCTTTAACTTCATGTGCAATATAATCTGGTGGTAATTTTTCTAATGTTTCAGTAGCTAAACGATATATAACAGCTTCACGTGTTTCACCTGCACCACCACGAGCTTCTTTTGGTTGAATACTTAATATAGTATCAAGAACTTTTTTAGTTGTATCTTCTTGATATCTAAATTAATTAAAATTAAAGATATTATTTGTCGAATTTTTTTTTTTTTGGTGAATTCTATATCAAATATTTGCAAGTAATTATTATATTTAATATGTTTTCAATATAGAATGTAAGAGAAGATTTGATTGATGAAAATTCTAGAAGTGATGAAATCTTTTAATGTTCTGTTCTTTTTTTCTTTCTAAATCATTTACTTATTAGAATTCATAAAAAATTTTATTGAAGTAGTACAAAATATTACTTCCATATTGAAAATCTTTGAGAATTTTAGATCGATCTGAATTTCAGAAAAAATAGTCTGTATTCTATTTAGTTGTTTTTCACATGTATAGATAAAAAATTTTGAAAAAATAGTTCAATTCCGTACATCCATATTATTAATGGTATTACAATATTCAAAATACCGACATAGTTAGGACTTCTATTTACGTTGATTATGTAGATGTGTGCAGTCAATTGAGACTTATTCCGTGTTAAAGTTTTCATTCTGAAGTTAAGATTGACTTAACTCCTAAAAAAGACATTCAATGAGGAAGAATACTTTATTCCATCATAATTAGCTCATCGAACTCTACAACCTGGTATAAAGTCGATTGAAAAATAGAGATTTATGTCTATGAATCTTCCCTCATATGACATATTCTTTATCATAGAACATTCTATTTCATATTTTTCTGATCATTTCTCATTGTTATTTCATTAAGATAAAATTTTTAGAATTCAATTTCAAGTTTAATTTATTTTATTATTTATACAAACCTATCATTAGCTAATGGACTTAATCCAAATACTTTTCCACTATCATAATTTGGTATTGTTTCAATATAATCGAAAACATCTTCAATACGTGTCATTTTTGGTATACGATAAGTTTTTTCTTCAAATTGAAAATTAGGATCAAACATTTCATCACGAAACCAACATTTAACATATGTTTTTAAAAGACGTTTATCAAAATCATCTGTTACACGACCTAAATATAACGAGACAAAACAAATAAACAAACAAATTATTTATTTTGTTTTTTAATTATATTTTATTCTTACCTCCATATTGTACTTCTGAAATCATGTAATGAATAGTTTTCCATTGCATTTGCTAGAAAAATAATAAAATTATTTAAAAAATAAATCAATCAAATCATATAAATTTATTACTTTAGCTGCATCCATATCATCAAGATAATTTTGAATAAATTGAACAGTTGCATTAAAATCTGATTGATTAAATTCATATGGTATATTCCATCCAAGTGGACCAAATTTTCTTCGTTCTTGTACAATTGTATGTAAAAATGCAACAGCATATAATAATGGACGCCATTTTTCATGTGTATTTGATTCTAATTGTTGTTCTTGTGTTAAACCAGCAAATGTACGTTTTAAACCAGCTTTAACACCTTGTGGTGGTTCAGCTGTATATTTAATTGAAATTTGTAATAGACCAATAGGAAATTTTAGATGAGGTTCAGTTGTTATCCAAAGACGAAAATCTGGATGAATACGATCTGTATTTTCTGTCAGTTGTAATAAAAATTCTTCACAAAAATCTAATGATAAATGACAATTTTGTAATAATACCCATGTACCATTTGCATAAGCTTGTGCTAATAAACGTCGTGCATGAACTTCTTGCCCTTGTCCCATTGATATAGCACTACAATCAATTGATTTCTTTTTTGCTAATGTTTCGATTTGTACAGTTGGATCTGAACCCATAGATAGAAAACATATCATTGGTGAACATTTATCAGATTCATCCCACATTTTTTCCATATCCAATACAACACCTTCACCATATCTTGGTCCTAATGAATCATTTATATAATCAAGAGCAGATTTAACAAAACGTGCAGGTGTTAAAGAACGAATTAGAAGAAGACGACGAAATTTATCTAATTGTGGTTCCCAACCATCGGGTAATTCAGCACGTTCAGGTTCATCTTTCTATAAAAAAAAAAAAAGAAAATTATATTTAGATAAAGATTATTAAAACTAAAAAAAACAACGAGATGAGAGAGCAGCAAATCAATTTCGAGCAAAATACTAACTTGTTGTTGCACAATTGAGAAACTTGATTATAGGTTTGAATTAGAAAAGAAAATTTTTGTGAGAATGAATTCAAAAATTTTTAATTACTCTTTCAACTAGATGATTATTAAATGAAAATTTTTAGATCTTTACTTATCCTATTATATTGAGAATAAAATGCAGAATGACTCAAAAGACATTTTAGTAAGAACAAAAAATTTAGATATTTTCGCTAGATTTTCATCTAAAAATTTGATTGTTTTACTTGTGATAAAGCCATGTCTATAGGAAAAATATTTAACAAGAAAATAAATACTACTACTACTATGAAGTATTATTATTGAGCTAAGTAAAGAACATTCAAGTGAATGTACTCAGTCCAAGATCTTCGTGTACTGAGTCAGTTATCAACAGGGTACTTTTTCGAGTACCCTGATACCAGTATGTCACAGGATCTTGGTTGTTTTTCAACAAGATAGTAGTTTAAATATTTCGAATCATCTGGCAGTAAAGTATTAAAAACTCATAAAGTATCTTAAGGTTCTTGTGTCATATGAGTAGTAGAGTATCCTTGTGGGTACCTCGAATTTAATACATTCACTAGGATAGAGCACTCATGAACGAGTAATGGAAAACGATATGTCAGTTTTCTAATAATATTTCATCGTATTCACATATGAAACTTTTTCAATATGTAGAATAAGAAAACCACATAATTGTATGAAGAAAGAATTGATAGAAAAAATAATTTGCCATTTCGTTTTCATTAGAGAAATAAACGACCTAAGTCAATCATTACAGATCACTGTAAACAACCGTTTTTATGCCATATAGTGTCATTATAACACGCCTAGTATTACTGACCGTATACGATGTCGTATTCTCATCGTAAAGATGTTGTAATATGGCTGTATTTTATCGTACATACGAATGCATTACTAACTCTGTATTTATGGAGAAATACGACCTTGTTAATGTGTCGCATTTTACCGTAAACGGCTTTATTCTTCTACACGAGAACTATTTTTATTGAAGTGAACAGTCACAATTTGAAAAAAAGATTATCTATGCTTGCCGTACAAATTTCAACTATATACATTCGTTTATTAATAATAAAAGAATCAACTCATTTAGTTGAATTATAATAATAATATTGAAGTTTCATTTTTATAAATAAAGATAGTTTTTTACTCTTTTATTTTGTTATATAGTATCAATATTGTAACTGTACTATTTTTCAAGATCTTATTTTAATATGATTTCTTTGATACATTTTGAAGACTCTTACTATAAGAAAATTTTCATTTGTTTAATCATCTAATTGAAAGAGATTCAACATTCAAATTTAAGCATTTTGAAATAGATAATAAAAAAGAATATAAAAAAACTAACTCTTAAATTTTAAAATCATTCTTTATTAACATACCTTAAACCATGTATCCCATGCTGTACCAGCACGATTAAGCTAAACAAATAAAGAAATTAATAAATAAATCAAATATAATTTAAACTTAGTACTTACAGAATTGAGAATATCACCGAATTGATAAAGTTTAGATAATTCAACAAGATTCAGCCAAATTTCATTTTGTAACCATTTATAGGGTGGTTTTGGTGGTGCTAAAAATAAATAAAATATATATATAAAAACATACAAAATTAAAACTACACAAAAAAAAGCAATACCTGTGCTTGCGTCAATTGATGCACCACCTTTAATTAATGTTTGAAATTCATCAAATTTAAGTCGACTTGATTGTAAATCAATTTTTAATGCTAATAAAAGTGTAAACATAAATTTATGTTCTTCATAATAACCACGAACAGCATATTTATACATTTCATATGTTAAATATTCCATTATATTTGTAATACGTTTTGATGTAACTGGTGACTAAAATTAATTAAGAAGAAAAAAAAAAGAAAAGAATATCAAAATTTAATTATTATATATAAATTTAAATAATTAATTTACTCGTGGTGAACGTTCAAGTGCTTGATCAAATAATTGTAAAAATTGTTTTAATGATGTTTGATACATAACATTAACAAGTGACATTTCAACAATAAGAAAATAAATAATTGAACCACGTGTTGCAACTGGACGATATTCTTCACGAGCAATATTTATTTTTTGACTAGTTTCAGTTGCTATTTGAAGTTTTTGTTTAACATCAGTTGATGTTATTTTTGTTGTTTTTAATGTTCGAATTAGATCATCATCATCAACTAATGAACCCTATATAAATATTAATGAATAAATAAATTTCAATAATAATTTTAAGACTTACTTTTGAATTACTTAATCTAAATAATAAATTATCTTCAAGTTCTTTCATACGTTTATTATTAGCTTGTATATCTTCTAACATTTTAACACGTTCATTTTCTAATTCAGCTTTTTCTTTTAATATAGTTAAACCTAATAATTGATCTTCTAAACCTTTCATTGTAACAGTAAAATCAATAACAGATGTTTTAGCTGATATTTCTGGTGTAAATGCTGGATTAGCTAATTTTGTTGTTATATATAAATTAAAACCTTTTAATATATCAATTTCTTTATCACCAACTTTAACTTTAAGTGTTGTACCAGAACGAATAAAATTTTTTTCTAAAACATTATCTAATGCTGGATCAAGTTCTTCAGCTACATCTTCAATTAATAATGGCCGACCAAGTGATAATGCATCTTCTAAATGTTGTCGAAAATGTTTTGATAAAAGATTTGTTGATTGTAAATCAGTTGATGCTTCTTTATTTTTAATCCAAGTTTTTCCTTGTCCTTGTGGATCAATTAATAATGGGTAACGTTTAGCACGTGTTACAATAATAGCATTTTGTATTGATAATTCATCATTTGGTAAACCTTGTAATCTCCATTCACCAACTATTGTTACATCCGTTAAATATTCCGTTACATTTAATCCTCGTGTAAATGGAATATTTCGTTCGGTTAATAATTTTTGCCAATCTTTTGCTAATAATAAACGAAAATCTTGATTAAATGGACCTTGATATGATAGAAAACCAGTACAAAGAAGTACATCACCAACCAGTCTAAGATGAAAAAACAAAAAAAAAAACAAGAAAACTTTATTCATGTGTGCTTTTTTTTGTTTCTGTCTTTTTTACCGTCCAATTTGAGCTTTAAATTGTTTACTTTGTTCAGTCCATCGTTCTTGTTCATCAGCTAAACCAGATATTAATTCTCTAGCTGCAGTCATTCGTTTTAATGTTCGATCAAGATCATCTTGTAAACGTTGTTTTGTTGCCATAGCAGCATCATATTCAGCTTGTGCTGCAGCTACTTCAGCTTCACGGCGATCCAGTTCTCCTTGTGCTGTTTGTAATTGTTCATTAGCTTTAATTAAACGAGCTTCTTGCATAGCTAAATTTCCTTTTAATGGTAAAACACGTTTATTAACATGAAAAAAATCAGCCATAGCACGTGTCCATGTTAATAAACCAGCTATAGCACCAGCAGCTACTTTAGCACCTTCAAATGTATAATCAGGTACACGAAAATATGTTTGAAGTAATTCAATTTGTTCATCATTAATACGATCACGTGGAAATGCTTGAAGATTTTGAAGAAAACCTGTATCGGACATAAGCTAAAATAAAACAAAATTTATTATATATTTTTTTTTTGTAAAAAACACAAAAAGAAAAGTGTAATCTAGATACATACTTTTAATGAACTTTCCCAACTTGGTTCAGGTCCTTGTAATTCAGGATCGATTTTTAATGGATTTCTTAATGGACGTCCAAAAAGTATTAAAACACAATCCATAATTTGACGAATAAGACGTGGTGGACGACCAAGTTTACGTACAACAGAAATATCAGCAGGTGTTATTGTTAATAAAGCTTCTTCAGCGGCCTAAAATCATATATATATATGATTATATTTGATATAATATATTTTCATAAAATTAATTAATTACTTACAAGTAATGCTGGTTTAGCATTTTCAAGTTCAGCATTAGCTTGGATTTTATCACGATTAATTTCATCGACTAATGTTTGTGCTGTATCTTTAACTTTTTGTACTTGTTGTTTAACAACTTCAGCTGCACCTTTTTTAACTGCAACTTCTTTTAAAACTTCATCAGCTTTTTTATTAGCTATATCTAATTCTTTTTCTTTAATTGTTAATTCTTCTTTCATAACTATTACAGCTTTTTCAGCTTCAACTAAACGTGTAAGACCATCATTCATCCGTTTAGCCATAGATTCAATTTCATTTAATTTTTGTGAATAAATTTCTTTATAACCATTTATAAATGAAAGATATGATTTCGGTGTAACATGTGTTGATCGACGATATTTTTGAAAATATTGTAAACAATATTCAGCTACACCATCATGTACAGAACCCATACATTGAACAAGTTCTTTTTTAATTGCATCCGTACAAACAATATTAAATGATGAAAGAAAATGATCAGCAACAGCAACAAGTGCATCACGTGGCCAACGAAGAAACCAATCAATTGTACAATTTGCAACAAGACCAGGAAATTGTAGACCTTCACAAGAAAAAAAAAAGAAAGAAATTATATTAATTTTGAAAAAATTTATTAAAATATTTTGTACCTCGTTTACGAAATTTTTCACCAACTGGTGAAAAACATAAAACAACATGTAAATTTTGTCGAACACGAGATAGAAAATAATCATATAAATTTTCATTTGTTGGTGGTCGTCTTGGATATTGTTTTTTCATAATAGGTACTAATTCTTGACATATTTCATCCATTTCATCTCTAGGAAACATTCCTGGAACCTAAAATTTAATAATTAAAATTATTATAAAAAAAAAAAATTAAAAAAAGTCACATAAATAGAATTTTAACATACCACTCCTGATGAAAGTACATTATTAATATATTCAAGAAATGATTCATCTTTAATATCTTGATCAGAAAATATAAATGTTATGCCTTTTCCTTCTTTTCCAGCAATACGATAAAGTGTTTTTAAATCTTCTAATAAATTATTTGTATTATATGCACGTGTTAATGTTATTTGAAATGTTTTATAACCAGCAATAAAGGATGCTAATTTTGTTAATGATTGTTTACCACTACCACCAACACCAACTAATAATGCATTACCACGTGGTGTTCGAATTATACGAGAAATTTTAACTAAATGTGCCATTGCATCTTTAAAAAAGACTAAATCCATTCCTGAACCACGAATACTTTCATTATATTGTGCTAAATACATTTTTAAACGTTCTTCAAGAGCTTCAAATGAAGGTATTGGTTCATAAATCTTTGGTGCCTCTAAATCAGCATCTTCTGCTTCTTCACCTGTTGGTTCAGGAGCATCTCTAGAAAATATTTAATTATGATTAATAATAAAAAAAAAAAAAAAAAAATACAAGAAAGATTTTAAATAAAACAGATATTAAATGTGAAATGTGAGATATGTGATACCTTAAGAAATCGACAAAATATTCTTCTTTTTTTACCATAGCTTGATATTTTGCACCTAATTCTTCTTCAGCTACACGTTCAACTGTTTTCGTAAACCAACGATAATCCTCAATATCAGTGAACCTGTGAAATAAAAACAAAACACACTCAAAAAACAAACCAAGTGCATGTGCATGTGCAAAGTGTAAAAAACAAAACTTTGGGATTTTTAGTATTTGATATTTCAAATCCTGAAAAGACCTGAGAAAATCGACAAAATATTTAGTTTGTTGCATATAGGCACCTAATGTTGGTCCTAATTCTTCTTCTGTTAAACGTCGAAGTGTTTTTTCAAACCAGAGTATATCGTCTTCAGCCACAAATCTGATTGAATACGAATCAGATTTTATTAAAAATGATATATATATATGTCAAAAAAGAACTTTTTTATTTTATTTTTCGTTTACCTATCACATATAACTCGCGAACATTCATGTTTCCATAAATGAATTAAAGTTTTTTCATTATTAACAACTTGTGGTATAGTATTAATCATTCCTTGCCATATACGTGAAAGATCACGTAAATTGAAAACATAATGAAACTTTGCTGGTGTTGGTAACATTTTAACTTTTGTTAATTGCCATAAACGTCTTGTAGCTGGTACAAGTCTGTCAATAAGTGAACGTACTTCATCTGTAAATCCACGTTCTTTAGCATAATGTCCTGTTGCAATAACAGAAAATATTTTATCAATAGATACATTTGATGGTAATGTACAATTAAATGTACAAAATTGTCGTTTCAAACGTTGTGGAATATCATTTCTACCACCACCAGGATGTATCATAGCAGCAAGTAATTGTATATCAACAATAGTTGTAAATTCACCTGGTTTTTCTAATGAATAAAAACCACCTTGTTCAACTAATTGACGAACAATTTCATTTGTTATTTGATCACCCCATTCATTTATTGTTGGCATATTAACTAAACAAAAACAAAACAAAAAAGAATAAGTTCTATCCTTATATAGAAACATTTTTCTTTTCTTTTTTTTGGTAGTACGTACTATCATCAATAAATACAGTCATCTTTTTACCAGCTGGTGGACCATATGTAGTTCCAACACGTTTATCAACATAGGATTCAATTATTCTTTGAACCATATTCGGTGTTGTAGCCGATGAAAAATTAACTGTTTTTTGTGAATGTTCTTCAGCATTATATCTACTCATATATGATTGTATAATAACAGTTTTAGCTGTACCTTGTTCACCAATAAGAAGAACAGGCTAAAAAGACAAAAATTATTATTTGTATAAAAAAAAATTTCATTCTTTTTTTTTTTTTTTTCTAAATTTACTTTATGTTGTTTTGCAATTGTATGAATAAGAAAATCTGTTCGAACATTATCAACATTAGGTACAAGTATAGATGCATATTCTGGATCATGATCTTTTGGATAAATATATTCCGTAACAACATTATTCCAATGTGTCCATGCACCAGTTTTTTCATGAACAAAATAATCAAATATTGTATCTTCACTACCTTCGGATAATTTTGGTGTATCCAAACGAAAATCAGTAGCATTTAATATATAATCTTGTAAACGTGCACGATCATCTAATTCAAGAAAAGCACCAACTGACCACATTATTGCAAATACATATAAACGTTCAATATGTTGTGGTGTTAATTGATCTTTAGCTTCTTTTAATGGTAATAAACCATTTAATAATTTACATGCCTAAATTAAAATAAATAAATAAATTCATAAAATAAAAAATATAAATAATTATATACCTGAGTAACAATCATACATTCAAGTACAGGCATTTTTGATTTAAGATGAAGTGAAAAATGTCGATAAATAAATGGAAATGATGTTTCAAATAAACGCATTAAAACTTCACCATCACTCAATGATCGTTCACGTTTTATCCAACCCTATTGAAAACAAAAATTTTTTTTAAAATTTTCTTCTTTTTCAATATATTCTCAAAATTATTCGACTAGATTTATTTTTAATTTTTAATGATTACTAGTTTTCTAAGGATAGGATCTTTGGAAAATTAGTAATCATTTTCATTTTTGAAAATTATTATTTAGATTCTTATTAGAGTTTATGATAGTGGAAAAAAATAAATCTAGTCGAATAATTTTTCGAAGTCACTTTATATATTTATTGATTTACTTGAATTAATGGTCGCCAATCTAAACCAGAACTGCTCATATAAACCATACCATTTCTACTAACAGTAGCTGGTGATGCATTATCAATATTATGTACTTCAAAAATAATTTTACAATTTGGTGCCATTGGTATTCGATCACCATTAGCTAATGTTAATGTTTTATTATCATCTAATACGGAATTTAAATTTTCAATCCAAATAGCATCAACAGGACCATCTAAAACAAGCCAAACAAATTCACCTTTTTTTGTACGTAATGTTCGTCTCCATAATGTTGAAAATATTCCATCTGTCCAATCATTTGTTGCTGCATCTAATCGACCAAACATTTGTGGTGCTGTTATTGCTTTTGGATTCATACGCATTTCACGATGTGGTTCACCACATATTGTCATTGCTTTCATTAATGCATGAATACAACATGTTTTACCAACACCTGATGGTCCTAATGTCATCATTCCATGACGAACACGTTGAGTTTCAAATAACTAAACAGAGAGTAGACAAGAAATTTTAAATAAAAATTTAAAAAAAAAGAACTTCAAATTAAGTACTTGAATTATTTTTAATATCCATGGTGGATGACATATAAGGCCAGCAGCTTGAGCTTCTTTATCAATAGCTGCTTCTAATTCAACATATGTTTCTTTTTCTAATTTTATATTTGGAAAAAGATCATTAATAAGTGAGATAAATAATGGTTCATCTTCATCAACCTATATGAAAATCAAAATAAATCAATTTACTACACTATAAAAAAAAAACTAGCAACAAAATATAACATACTAATTTTGATAAATTCATATCACGAAGTACTCGCATAACAATTGTTTTTTCTAAATCATCTTTATTTGCACGTTTAACAGCACCAAGTGTTCGTAATACAGATAAAATATTTCGTAAACCAAAATCATAATGAACCTAGAATTTATTTTTTATTTCTTATATTTACTACTGATCAAAAATAGTAATACCAGATAAAAGTAACCAAAAATCTAGAGCGTGTTGGAACTGAAAATTTTATTACAAATACAGTTCAATGTAGGTCCTGGTCCTAGATACGAGCCTGTACATGACAAACAAAGGAGTTGTGGGTGAAATAGTATTTTAATTTTAGGACATCAAGATCTCTACCATGTGAGCATCTTTTTATTCTAGTTAGCTAAAAATCTTAGCCTTTCTATTGTGAAGCTTTTATAAACAATCACTTTTGTCTAGTTCAGTTCTATGCTTGTATTTGAGAATTGTTTATCACAAGAATATCAGTACCTGTAGATAAATCAACTATAACTCAGAAAAAAAAACGATTGAAATCTGTCTGAGTTATAGGTAATTTATCTATAGACATTGATGTGCCTGTTGTAAATGATTGTCAAATACAAACGTAAAACTTAACAAGACAATGATGGTTTCGTGCAAAATCTTTACGGTAGAAAGGCTAAATATCCAGCTTACAAATGAAGATGCTCGAATGATAGAGATCCAGGTGTCCTAATATTAAAGTAGTGTTTGATCCACAAGTCCGTTATTTGTTATACTATTAAGTATGAATCGGTGTCTAAGACCAGCGCCTATTGAGTTGTATTTGTAATAAAATTTTCAGTTTCAACGCTCGAGTTTTTTTTTATTACTTTTACCTGGTATTGCTACTTTTGATCAACAGTGTATATATGAATAATTCAAGAAAAAATAATAATAATGAAATTCATACTTGTTTACTAAGTTGTTCTTCACATAATTTATAAAGTGTATAAAATTTTTTTGCTAAAGGAACATTTTCTCTAAAACCACATGCAGCCATTTTAACACGAATAATTGGTAAACGATCAGGTACCATCATAGCAACAGAACGAAAATTAATTTTTAAATTTTCAGGTAATTCTTGTCGACCAGCATAACCTGGATTCATTGTTAAAAATATACCAAATTCCAAATTCATTTCAACTAGATCACCATCTGTAAATATAAATTGACGTTTCTTTTCTTTTTTACAAGCAAGAACAATAGCTATTTGTTGTGCAGCAACAGAAAGTACAGGTAAATCAATACGATTAAATTCATCAAAACAACCAAATGAACCTGATTGAGCTAAACCTTTAAATATACGACCTAAACCACGAAAATCCATTTGATCAGAACAATTAAATACCTATTGATAAATACAAAAAAAGAATCAATTGATTTATTAAAAGAAAAAAAAATTTATCATCTACTTACAACAACATATTTTCCAAGACATCGTCCCATATCTTTAACTGTTTCAGTTTTTCCTTAAAAATAAAATAATATATTATAAAGATAATTTAAAATTTTTTGAGAATTAAAACATTTAGATTATGTTTTCTATTGAACGTAAGGCTATTCAAATGTATTGTGAAATGTAGAAATGATTTCAATCGTACTTCACAAGGATATGAGATTTAGTTTTCTCTTTCAGCCATTGTTACTGATGTGCTGAAAAGTGATAATACTTTTTCTAAATAGATTTGCCTATGAAATAGACAAATCAAATTTTCGATGATAAGATTTGAAAATTATTATGATTTTTGTTCAGTATATTTTTTTTTTTGTCATTTATAAAATCTTATGAGAAGAGAAGTCACCCAACTAATTAATTACTGTAGAGTCAGAACTATATATACATCAGGTAAACTCTAACGAGCTATAAATACTTTTAAAATTTTGAAATACATCATTTTACCTGTTCCAGCTGGTCCAGCAGGTGCTCCACCCATACTCATATGTAATGCTTGTGCTAATGTAATATAACATCGATCAGTTAATGGTGTAATAACTAAACGTTCCGTACAACCAAGAAATTCATTCGTATAAGTAAAATCAACATCTGTTATTGATATTTGTACTTTATCTAATTCTTCAACAAAATAAAATCTTGTTTGTTTAAGCCAATCAAAATCAGTTATTGATCGAACATTTGTTTGAACAATTTCATCAAATATATCTTTTTGATGTACATGTATTGTTATTAATGTTTCATATTTTGTACGTTCAACACGTGTTAAATCTTTTGTTGTTTGATCAATTAATAAATCAAGTAAATCACTAAATACTTTAGCTGTTTGTTTCATTATATTTCTATCAACTTTAGCATGACGTAATGCTTCTGTTGCATCACGTGTCCATATTAATTGTATACCTAATAGACCAACTTGTGCTGGATATGTATTAAGAAATTCAATAAGATTAAATGATGATGGATCTGATAAAGCATGATGAGCTTGACGAATAACACCATGTAATGATCGTTGTGATTCTTTAAGAAGTGACATTAACCATATTTCAACATTACCTTCAGCTTTAACAGGTTTTTCAAGCTAAATAATAAAATTGAATAATTAGTAGATAGAATTATTTTCAATAGACGAAAAAAAAAAATCCCATTGAACTTACTTCAATTGTTTCACCTTCAGATGATTCAATTGTTAAAATTTTATCATATTCTTTTTCATGAAATCGTACTGTTTTTATATTATCAAAAACACTTAATAAATGTGCTTTAATTGTATGTGGATCACTAGCTTGACCTAAAATTTCTAATAATGCTGGATCAGAAACAAAAAAGAAACGTGGAAATAAAAGACGTTTTCGTTCTAAATAACCAGTTAAAGATTTTTGACATAATTCAAGTTGTTCAAGAAGATGTGGTAATAATTGTTTTAATGTTTCATCTGTTGTACAACATGGTACAACAGCTGGTTGTTCATGTGCTTTAGACATTATTTTAAGCCAAGATTTATCAATAGATGAAAAACGTTTAGCTTCTTGTGGTAATTGTTTAGCAATATCACCACCAACAAAAACAGCTTCTAAATAAACCCATAAATTTTGTACACGCATCCAATTTTCAATAATTTCATTTGTATCAGTTAAATCTTTAACCCATTTTTGAATTTGTTTTCGAAATGGAACATTATATCTATACACAAAGAAAAAACAAAGTTTTTAGAAGAAGAAGAAGAAGAAAAACTAAGATTTTACAAACCTATTTGACATTAATGAACCAAGTAACATAAGAGAATCTTCTAATAGACTAATAACTTCTTGAATTCGATCACCTTTAAGTAATAATTCACCACGTGTTTTAAATTGAGCAAAATTAAATTCTTGTGTTTTCCAATCTGATTCAACTTGTTTAAGTTTTCCTTCAATATCTCGTTCTTTAACAGCTGCAATACAAATATCTTCAATATCTTCTTTAAATTGAAGTAATGGTAAATCCATAACATTTCTCAAACGAAAATCATCAGCTTCAACATCTAAATTATGTACACCAGTTACTTCAGCTATTCGTTGCCAATGACGATTTTGCATAGCTCGATTTGACATCATTTCTAATAAAGGACAACCTAAATTCAATATAAATAAAAACTTAAAATAAAACAAAAAAAAAATCTTTATCTATTAAAATTTACATTCACTAAAATCATCAATTGTTTTTTTTAATGCATGAAATGCTGGAAATTCTCTTAAACCTTTAGGTAATTTTCTACAAGCTGTTTGAAAATCAGATAATTCTTGATTTATTTTATCAATATTAACATCAACCCATGCTATATCATAATAACTTGCAACAGTATCTAAAACTTTATTATATAAACCATAAAGACGTTGTAATAATGTTAAATCTTTTTTAATTTTTTCTAATTGTGGAAATTCAGTTATTGATAAACCAAATAATAATTCACCACCATGATATGTTTCATATTTTTTATATAAATTTTCTACACGACTTTGAAATAATATTTGTCTATCACTTGATTCACGTGGTGTTAAATCAGGTAATGTTGGTCCACCTTTTTCATAATCACCATAAAATTTTTCACATTCTTCAATAAATATTTTAACATTTTCTAATAATTCTGATCGTTTTGTTGGTTGAATTTTAAGTAAATATGATGTTACTTCACTCTATAAAAGCCACAAGAAAAAAAAAATATCATATTAATAAAAAAAAAAAAAAAAACAGTTTTTGTTTTTGTGTGCTTACACCATGACGTTGAAGTTTTTCCCAATTTAATTTAATTGATTCAGCTCGATCACTTTCTTCTCTTGAAACATTAAGACCATGAGTTTGTAACATTGTGTATGATTCTTCAATTGGTGCTATACTCATATCAATACGAATTTCATTATCACGTAAATCTTTAATTGCAATCATAATTAAACGAATATCTTCTAAATCATTGATTGGACGTGATAAACGTTTTTCAATATCTTCAATGAATGTGCTAACTTCATTCATTTCTTTACGATATTTTGCATTACATGCTTGACCATAACGAACTATCCAATCACGTACTTCTTGATTAAGAGCAAATTTTAAATGTTCTTAAGCAAAAAAAACCATTAATTTAATAACTATCTAAAAAAAATAACAATAATAACATACCAGTAAAAATAGCTAATGGACCAACAGGTATAGATTCTGGTTGAGAATTAATATCTGATGCTAAATTTTCATAAAATTTAATTTTAGCTTCAAATTCTGATACACGTGGTTCTTGTGCTAGAAAATCTTTTAATTCTTCATCACGATCTCGTTGCCATAAAGTATTAAATCGTGTAAATATTTCTAATGCTGTTGTTATATCCTATAATAAATAAAAAAAAACAAAAAGAACATAAAATTTTTATCAATAAAAATAGAAATAAAATATTCTATACTTTTTTCGTTGCATTAATACATGTAGCTAATAGTGCAACTAATTTAGCAACATCTTTATTTTCAGATACATTTTTAAAATAATTATTTGCTGGAGTAAATTGTACTCGAGAATGTTGTTGATCTGTATTAGTTTGTTCATGGCCTCGTAATCGACTAGTTGTACCAGCATCAGTAGTAGCAGATGATCCTTGATGAAATACATCTCTTGCAGATGTTTCCAAATTAGCGCCGGCTAATGCTGAACCTGGTGTGATTGGATTATTTTCTTCTTCATGATCTGCTATAGGATTTATTGCGAGATGTGATTCACTATCACCAATTTGTGTATCAAGTGGTATATCATGTTTACTACTACGTTTTCTTTGCTAGAAAAAGGAGAAAAAAAAAAAAGAAAAGAATTTTATTAAAGAAAAAATTTCATTCAATCGAAATTAATTCATGCAATTAAATCAAAAAGAAAAAAGAAAATAACACTATTAAACTAACGAATGTGACATGCATATAAAAGGTTGAAAAAATTTACTTGTCTATTTATATTTCTCAATAAAGAAAAATCTTGACTTGTTGATTTTAATATTCCAATAGAAACTAATACTTTCATTATATTCAGGGATAATAATATTGTCTAAAAAAATTGGCATATTTCCATATATATATATATATGTAGGTGTTTTTTATTTTTATTACACATAATTTTATTTATCTGAATATCAAACCATTTTTTTTTTGACTTACTCTTTTTCTATTTTTATCCCATTGTGAAATAGTTTTTGCAACAGATACAATTGTTTGTACAGCTTTATTTAAATAAATTTGTACTTCATCAGCTGGTGGTTGAATAGCTACATTTGGAATAGCTAATTCAGCAAAAACTTTAAATACTGGTGCTTCTTGATGATTTCGACCTATGAAAAAAGAAAATCAAAAAAAAAAAAAAAACAATATTTTTCATTTCAAATTACTATAACTAAGTGTTGATGTAATACGTTTTCTTAATTTTTCTAAAGTCATTTTAATAACACGTATAATAGCATCAAGATTTCGATGACTAAAATGATTTATTAATTCTGTAATAGCAACTTGTAAATTTTCACTTTGTTGTTCACGTTTACGACGTGATGTTGTTCCTAACATAATTGATGATTTAGCTCTTCCTTTAGATGATTTTCCTGATGATATTTGTCGTGTTCGATTTGTTGTACTTGATGGTTGTCGACTAGTTCGAGCTGATTTAAGTGTATTTTGATCATGAACAGTTGTTGTTTCATCTACGATAACAAAGAAAAAAACAATTTTTTTTAAAGATTTAATTCAAAAAAAAAACAAACCATCAGATTCTTCATCATCAAGATCTAAAGCAATATTTGAATATTGTCCTTGTCCATCACCATGGAGACTTGTACCAATTATATCTCCACATAAGAGATCAATAACTTCAAGTACAGCATCTTCAACATTATGAGATTTCAATTGAATTTGTTTTGATGCAAGATTACATAAATTCTATTGAAGAGAAAAAAAAACAAGATTTTTATTTATTTATTTTTTGATTTTTATTTTACTTGAGTATGTTGTAAAAATTGATCAGGTGTTATTGGTTCATCTTCAGGTAAATCACAAAGAGACATTGTTGCTATTTCATCAAGTACAGCATCAATACGATATGCTATAAGATCATATGCACGATCTAACATTAAATCAAATTCATCTAATGCTGAATTAACCTATAATATAACAAAAAGTATAATGAAACTTTGAAAAGGAAAAAAAAACAAAATTAAACGAACTGAATTTATAAAATCATCAATAGTTAATGATGCCCATGTTAAAGATGTTAAACCAGGTTTAATAATATCATTTAAACGATGAATCTTTGGTGCTAATAATGCTTCAAATGGTTGTTTAATTTTTTCTCTTAAACGTTTATTTTTTTCGACTAATTGTGTTAAATCTTGATAATGTTTTTTAAGATAATCTTCACGTTGTGCTAATATAGCAGCTTCTTTTGGAATTTCTAAACCTAAACGTGCTAAACATTGAGTTTCTCGTATTAATTCAAGTATATTTGGATCAAAATTAACTAAATATTCAGGATTTGTTTGTGATGTTGATGTTACAATAGATGATATGCCTGGAAGTGTTGATGCAGCCGATAGAAGATCATCACGATTAACACGTATTAGTAGACTTGAATGAATACCAGTTGCAACAACATCAACTTGACGAAGCCATCCACGATGATATAGAAGTTCATATGATAAAAGAACTTTAGAGAGTTGATTATAATTTTTTATAATTTTTTTTGCTTCAGGATATTGAAGAATTGTTTTATTTGCAATAAAAATATCCATCGGTTGTTGAATACGTTTATACAATTGACGAGCCCACATGATTCGACCTTAAAAAACAAAAATAATAACAACAGTGAATTTATTAGGATTGTAGAAATGAAAATAAAAAATAAAATTTTACCAGCTGTTGGTGGTAAATCTCTTGAAATCAATGGATCTTTTGAATTTTTTTGATAAATTTTTGCAACTGCATCTAAATCTTTTGAATATTGTTGTAAAATTTTTGCATATTTTTCATTTAAACCAATATTTGGTAATTGTAATTTTTCAAAACGTTTTAATGCTGTTAATGATCGTTCAGTATTACGTATAGAATTAAAATATTTATCAAGAAATTCATTTATATTACTATGAAGATCTGCTATTGAACGACGAAAATCATCTAAATCACTATCAACTTCTTGTTTACGTTGATCCAAAAAATCATAATCTTTTTTCTTCATTGATGTTACAATCATATTAAATTTTGAATAAAATGGTGATATACCTTCAATTTTTGAATCAGCTAAATGTGAATACATATTTATTGTTGCAAACATATCAATAATTTTTTCACAACGTCGTACAAATGAATCAAATTTTCCAAATATATACATTTCACTAAAATCAAATGGACGTTCAGCTGGATTTGATGCTAATTTATTTTTTGTTGATTGAAAACAACGTTGATATTCATCATTTAATTTAATACAATCACGTAATTTTGATATAACATGTGATTGATCTTGAGACCATATTGTTTGTGTATAATTATCAGTGATATACATTTTTGATGTTGTTATCATTTGATTTGTTATCTATTTAGAAAATTTATTTATTTTTAACAATATTTTTGATTTCAATTTAATTGATTTTATATGTTATAAATTTATTTTAACTTTCTTTTATGAAAAATCTATATACATAAATAAGATATTTGTTGTGTACGCATAATTATTTACTATTTCTTATAATTGTTGGCATACTCGACATTTAATAGCATATGTTCTTCTTGGAGAAAAATTTTATACTTGAAAATCTTACATAATATCAGTGATGATCTATACATTGAAACTAAAAGTTCTGTACTTATGTTTGACGGATTAATTTTTCATCGTAAATAACAGTGATCAGGATATCGTACCTTACACTGGTTAAAAGATGCTTGTCAGAGCAGTCCCTTTGAGACTAAACTATGAATCTCACATAGCAGACTATAGTTGTCTTTCAAGTATAATCGATGATCTTGCATTTCGAACAGACATTTTTGTCTTTTATTTAACTTTTGAGGAAGGTTTTGGAATGTTGTAGAATAGTCTAAGAGTTGTTGTCAATGCTATTTAATACCTTTTTCCGTTGCTAAGAAGGAACTCTGGAAAAGATGTCCGACGTATATTGTCCTCAGTTGCTATGAAACATACTGAATAATTGTTGGCCTATCGCTCCCTTGTTCGTTGCTCTGATGGAGGGAAACCACAAAAAATCTTCACCCAAAACTTACATTCACTATATTTTTTCATCAAAAAACATAATGTGAGTTCCACAAAATAAATTTCAAAAGGAAAAGTTGATTCTCATGAATGAGTATCTTATTACTTAAATTAATCAATTAGATAAAGAACTACTAGCAGATCAAAGTATACTCAATTTTCATATGAAAACTGTGATATTAGAAAAAAGCAATTGTAATATCACTATTACATAACTTACTTTAACAAATAGTGATGTCATGCGTTCTGATGTATTATAATATCGTGAAATTGAATGAATCATTCGTACAGCATTAATTAAACCTGGAATACATTCTAACATTCCAACTGGATCAGAATTATATAATGGTTCACAAAATTTTTCTAATGTATATAAATATCGTACATTATCTTTTGCTTCATTTGCTGCATCTGTAATTTTTCCATCAAGTAATTTCCATTGCTATTAAGAAAATAATAAATATATAATTATTGAAAATTAGTTTTTATTATTATTATTTTACTTGAATAAGTTTTGATTTAGCAGTTTGTAAAATTGTTAAAACAGCTTTAACATCTTGTCCTTTTATTTGATCAAGTAAAAAGTTAAATTTTGTCATACGTTTTTTCCAATATTCAAGTTCAGCTCGTGGACCAATATTATCTGCTTCACGACGAATTTGTTCACTTTCTGCTAAAACCTTTGTTTTTTTTAAATAAACAAAAAAAAGATCCAATAGATCAAATTTAAATATGAATTTTATTTTTTTTTCTTCTTTACTTGTTCCATTTGTTTAATCCATATTTTCATTGTTTCTTCAATTGATGCAAGACTTTCATTATTTGATGCTATTGATACATAATCAGCTGCATTTTGTATTTGTGTTAAATCAACTTTATCACATGGTTTTAGTAAAATTCTTTCATTAATACTTTCTTGTGCACTATTAAGTGTAGCAACAAAATTATTTAATCGACTAATAAAATCAACTTTTATCATTTGATTATTATCTGAACCAGAAAGTTTTCCCCAAGTTGTTTCTGATATTTGAAGATATGGTAAATATATATCAGCTATTGATCGACTTAATGCTTGAAGTAATGGTTCAGTATTACATTCAAATGTATAGAAAAAAACTTCCTGTAAAATAGAAAAAAAATCAAATCAAATAATTTTATTAATAAAAACATACATTAACAATATTTTGCCCTGTAATAACAGTTTTTTTTGAATTACGCAAAAAACAAAGACATATTCCTCGTAGACTTTGTTCTTGAAGATCAGCTATAATCACTTTAGGTTTTGTAGATTTTTGATTAGTTGCACCTGCTCGACTTGAATATGGAGACAAACCAGGACGATAAGAATCAGCTAGAAGTATTTTATAATTAAATTAAAGAATATGAGAAAAAAAAGAAATTTTTT